CCACCGGAGTGGTACCTATTTATCTACTTGCACTGGTGTGCTTCCGAACTGCTAGGTTGGCAGGAGCAGGGACCGAGCAACGGGAGCTCACCCCGTCATTACGGGGATTCGAACCGCCGACCTTCTGATCGGCAAGTCCTAGGCTCTGTGGTTTAACCCACAGCGCCACCCGTGCCCTAAAAAGTCATGTTACGAAAACACTAAATACATAAGGAAGATAATTAACACTGACACTAACCCCTGTACCATGCAGCTTCTGTGTTGATTTCTCCATCTTCTTTTGCCCTCCGAATGTGGCCCTCGGAAGGGAGCGTGGCCCTCGGGCCAAAAGAGGTGTGTCCCCCCACCGCCCTGGTCTGACGCTAGTTGTCACCAGCCGGGACCTGAATAAGTTCAGCTTCTCCCAGAATCGAACCTGGCTTGTTACACTTTGCCTTCTTTCTTCCCGGGGAGGTGAAACGGATGGATTGCTTTCCCTTAACTGCTTTCTCCCAGTAAGCTCCGAGAGAACCAGCTCCCCAGGATCCAGGCCGGGGACCCGGTGGCTCGCTACTTTGGAATCAAGCGAGGCCAGGTAAGGACTTGCGGACAGGCCACACATGAATCGAAGGGGATGGGACCAGTTCATGGTCCATAGCAACTCCCAAGAGACTGTGATCTACTCACAGGGTTAAAAACTGGCAGTGATACCTACTCACAGAGCTAAAAACTGGGGTTCAAGTCAAAGTTGTTGACCTTTTTTAGGGAGGAGGAAATGCTTGTTTTACAGTCATGGCAAAGAGAACTTTACAGTATATTTAAAGTGGGTGGGGGCTGTTCGACTTAGCCTCATGTTTTTTTTAACTACTGAAATTAGCTGCCATCACCGCTGCCAACAGATTCCAATACATTACGCGTGTATTGTGTGAAAAAGGCTACTGGCTCTCTGCTTGCCTTCTCCCAAATCAGTACCTGATTTTGAAACCAGTACCTGCCTTCTCCCAAATCAGTACCTGATTCTGAAACCAGTACCTGCCTTCTCCCAAATCAGTACCTGATTCTGAAACCAGCACCTCCCTTCTCCCAAATCAGTACCTGATTCTGAAACCAGTACCTGCCTTCTCCCAAATCAGTACCTGATTTTGAGAACTGCCTTCTTCCAGGTGGTGAAGATCATTCGTCCCAGCGAGACGGCCGGACGGTATATCACCTACCGGCTGGTGCAGTAGCCGGCAAAACTACTTTGCAAGGTACTCTTATCTCCTTACCTTAAGAGGAAATGTGGGCGGCCTCATTTCAGAGAGATCTTCTTTGCTGAGAAACGCTTCTTTGACAGATTTTGAACAGCATACCTAACAAGATACCAACACTTCTCCTATATTGCCTCGTGGTTTCGTCAATTTTCCGTGCAGTGTGGAGACGGCAAACCTGCCTTCCCAGTGACCGCAAGGATTGGAATTTGGGGCGTACGTGTTTGTGTCTCTTCTGGAAATCCCAGGTGGGTGGGAATCTTCTTGGACATATGATTGCTGCTTCGAACCACCCAAGCTTCTAGATCTCAAGATCTGAAGTGGAACCAGTTGCTAACGCCACAATAAGCACCCTTCTGATAATTCCACCCCCAACTGAACTGGGCCTGGGTATATTTTGCTTACGCTGATGGGGTGGCCTGGAAGCAGCTTTTTGCTGTGTGCTTTGGAAGAAGACGCGTGGATGGAGGACGTATGTAGAGGCCTCTCTGCCTTTAGAGTGTGCTTGCAGTAAGCAGTTTGCGAGAAAAAGGATTTTCTGGACTCCTGAGAACGTCCCTCTTCCTTTCTCTGTTTTGCTGATCACTGCTGGGGGAAATCCGCCTCTCTCAAAAGGAGCCCCGACTGTCTTAATAAGGTTATCATTTCAATAAAGCATTGGAACTAATAATGTTTATTTTTATTAGGATTATTATTGAGCACTTGGAAAGTGCCTAACGTTTTGTAGGAAAAAAACTGAAAGGGGAAACCATGGATGGAAAGATGGCCTCAGTTGTGTAATAATAATAATAATTCATTATTTATACCCTGCCCATCTGGCTGGGTTTCCCCAGCCACTCTGGGCAGCTTCCAACAGGCTATTAAAAACACAGAAAAAGATCAAACATTAAAAACTTCCCTAAACTGTTTATTTCCTTGACATCTGACGGGAGGGCGTTCCACAGGGCGGGTGCCACCACCGAGAAGGCCCTCTGTCTGGTTCCCTGTAACCTTGCTTCTTGCAGGGAGGGAACCGCCAGAAGGCCCTCGGAGCTGGACCTCAGTGTCCAGGCTGAACGATGGAGGTGGAGACGCTCCTTCAGGTATACTGGGCCGAGGCCGTTTAGGGCTTTCAAGGTCAGACCAACACTTTGAATTTAACAACACTTTGTTTAACCAGCGAGGTATTACAGGTATTTTAGAGACTTCTTGCTAACGCCATTTCCAGGGTGTTGTTAATTGTTGCAGGAGGGTGGGAAGGAAATTGACACAACGCCATTGGATGGTGTACGCTTACTTTATTTTCATACCTAACGAAAGCATCAGTCCAGGATTGCGAGTTCAGCAGTTTAAAAAGCAAACCAGAGGGCTGCCACACAGGCTAGCTTTCAAACACAGGGAGGGGTACCTTATGTACAAATAATTAAGAAGCCGAGGTTATTAAGACCTGAACCTCCACACTCTTTCCTCTCATCCACCCTTGACATATGAAACAAAACTCTCACACACGGTACCGTTCCTGCCTTCTCCGGAAGCTGAGATTTCTTTTGCCTTTGTTCCCATTAAAGGTAAAGGGACCCCTGACCATTAGGTCCAGTTGTGGCCGACTCTGGGGTTGCGGCGCTCATCTCGCTTTACTGGCTGAGGGAGCCGGCGTACAGCTTCTGGGTCATGTGGCCAGCAGGACTGAGCCGCTCCTGGCGAACCAGAGCAGTGCACGGAAACGCCGTTTACCTTCCCGCCAGAGCGGTACCTATTTATCTACTTGCACTTTGTGCTTTCAAACTGCTAGGTTGGCAGGAGCAGGGACCGAGCAACGGGAGCTCACCCCGTCATTGCGGGGATTCGAACCGCCGACCTTCTGATCGGCAAGTCCTAGGCTCTGTGGTTTAACCCGCAGCGCCACCCTTTGCTGGGAACCGCCATCCCATTAAAGCACGATGGAGTCTCGAAAGAGGCGCCTCGGTTCTTCAGAAGCCCTTGCCACTAGGCAGCACCGTCGTGCTCAGCTTCTGCCAGGACACTGTGAGAAGGGGGCGCTGGATTAGATTAGGTGGGTCTCTTTGGCCAGAACCAAATCAAAGCTCTCCTTAACGATGCTGAAAGTGGTTTTTGCATAGGATTTGGCAAGTTAGTTGGCCTCCCAGAAGAAAAAGCTTTCTTTTTGCTGTCTTACATTTCCCGCAGGACTGTTGGCATTACCGGGAAGTGGATCGGGGCCCCCCTGACACCCACACCTTTTGCCCTGGGTCCCAGACCTGCCCCCTTTTTAAAGCAATATAATAATTATTATTTATATGCCACCATCTGACTGGGTTGCTCCAGCCACTCTGGGCAGCTCCCGACAAAATGCTAAAAATGTATATATATATAAAACACTTCTACAGGGTGACTGGGTTTGTATAGGGCTGGGCAGATATATCCATATATCGTCCAAAGCGGTTTGAAGTCTGTATCGTGGTGCCACTTTCGTAATTTTTGACCTGGCAATACATCGTGGATCGTGATGTTTGTGTACGCAAAAAATCACAATTGGGGAAACCGTGAAGCCGGCGGACGCCTCTACATAGCACCATCTTTATTTCAGATGTGGTAGATCAGTAGATAAACGCAGCATTTGGCCGCTGTGTTGAAAACTAGGTTTTGCCCAGCCCTAGTGAGAGCCACAGTCACTGCCCTCTCGTGTTTTGTTCAGAGGTAAATATTCTCTTGGGTACCTAGGAGTGGAGAAATCGGAAACTGCCTAATGCCAAGAATTTGTCCTGAATCGATTTAAAGCTGTATTATGCTGAGTCTTGACCACTGGTCCATTTGGCTCAATTCTGGCCACACCAACTAGCGACAAGACTCCAGGGTTTCGGAGAAAGGGAATGTCTCCCAGTCTAAACTGGGAGATACCGGAGATCGCAGCCGCCTGAACGGCAAACATGCTCTAAAGCACAGAGCCACAGCCTTTTCCCAGCAATGCATCTACTGCTAAAGTCGGGAAAAGCCTCTTAAAATCTGAACTAAGTGATCGACGCACCCATCTTCTGTTCACTAAAGGATGCAGGTTACTCTAGCTTGAAATCCTGAGCTGGGATCCGCTCGTCCAACAAACCAGTCTCTCTGGGGGAATAAGCCTCGTATAAGAAAGACTTTTGCTTAATTCTTTTTCTGGCTTAATGAGCTAGGCGTATATTTTGGAGCAGGGTGCGAAAAGCAAACTGCAACCATCACCAGCAGGCTGCAATCTGGCATTGTCTGTTCAGTAGCAAGTCCGCGACGGCGCTTGCTTCCCGGAAAGGATGGATCACAACCTTTCGAGTACCACGTAATCCAGCAAGCCTCCCCCACGGTCAGTTTGTACCCTGACTTTTTTTTAAAATAACACAATGACATAGCTGAAGGGGCTGGCATTTAAAAACCCAACCCTAGCCGTAGCAAAATAAACAAAGAGTTCTGCTTTGCTAAAGTGAACGCCCTTCAAATCAGTACTTTGAAAGGGGCTGCTTTTCCGGGTAGTTTCTGGCAGAGAACCGAGAACCTCTGCGAACAAGGACAGGAGGGTGCAAATATAAATTGTGATGGCGTTGTATCTGGGACTGTTCTTTTTAACACGCCGCTCGTGCAAAAGAGGTTGGGAGCCTGCTAAACCACACGGAAACCTCGGCACGCTCCGGTTTCGCGGCCGATCCAAAAACGGGCGAAAGGATAACCAGGATTGCGTTGAAAAGGCGGGTTAGGGCACCAAGAACTGCAGGAATTAGATTTTCTTCGTTCGCAGCTCATGCATACGGACTGTTCTTTCATTCCCGTTTTCGAGGCTGGGGAAACTACTCTAATGCCTTGTAGCCGAAAGGCGGCTGCGGAAACGCCACGTTGTTCGACTGGTTGGTGTTGCAACCTTCCAGCGGCCTTCCCGCCTGCCCTTCCGCACTCTCCCTGTCGCCCTCTCTCCCGAAAACCACATCTTCGTCCCCATCACAGCGGCCTTCCTCCCGGGCCGGGCAGCGCTGCAGCGGAGAGATGTCTTCAGAGTCCGACTGACCGACGCTGTAAGTGCGGCTCAGCGTCCCTTCCTCGCTGGCTTCATCCACAGACGGGGTTTCTTCGTCGCCGCTGGTCTCGCTGCCTCGCCGCGGGGGGCCCTCGATGCCCGCCTCTGCGGAGTCTTCTGGATCAGAGTCGGAATCGATGAAACGGGTGCTGTCTTCTGTGTTGGGATAAAATGAAACTCATTACTGCCTTCCTTTCTCTACTCCCTTATGCTTCTGCCAAGGAGATCTGTGTGGGTTCCCCATTTTATCCTCAATAATAATAATAATGTTGATGATGATGATGATAATACAGTGGTACCTCGGGTTACATACGCTTCAGTTTACATACGCTTCAGGTTACAGACTCCGTTAACCCAGAAATAGTACCTCAGGTTAAGAACTTTGCTTCAGGACGAGAACAGAAATCGCATGGCGGCAGCGGAAGGCCCCATTAGCTAAAGTGGTGCTTCAGGTTAAGAGCAGTTTCAGGTTAAGAACGGACCTCCGGAACGAATTAAGTACTTAACCTGAGGTACCACTGTATATTATTTATACCCAGCCCAGCTGGCTGGGTTTCCCAAGCCACTTTGGGCGGCTCCCAACAGAATATTAAAAACGCCATAAAGCATCAAACATTAAAGACTTCCCTAAACAGGGCTGCCTTCTGAGATAGTTGTTTATTTCCTTGACATTGGACGGGAGGGTGTTCCACAGGGCGGGCGCCACCACCAGGAAGGCCCTCTGCCTGGTTCCCTGTAACCTCACTTCTCGCAGGGAGGGAACTACCAGAAGGCCCTCGGAGCTGGACCTCAGGCTGAACGATGGGGGTGGAGACGCTCCTTCAGGTATACTGGGCTGTTTAGGGCTTTCAAGGTCAGCACCAACACTTTGAATTGTGCCTGGAAACATACTGGGAGCCAATGTAGGTCTTTCAAGACCTGTGTTATGTGGTCTTGGCAGCTGCTCCCAGTCCCCAGTCTGGCTGCCGCATTCTGGATTAGTTGTAGTTTCCAGGTCACCTTCAAAGGTAGCCCCACGGAGAGCGCATTGCAGTAGTCCAAGCGGGAGCTAACCAGAGCATGCACCACTCTGGACAGACAGTCTGCGGGCAGGGAGGGTCTCATCCTGCGTCCCAGATGGAGCTGCCCTGGACACAGAATTGACCTGCGCCTCCATGGACAGCTGCGAGTCCAAAATGACCCCCAGGCCTCGTACCTGGTCCTTCAGGGGCACAGAGTCCCTCACAGCTGCCTGCCCCCTGTCCCCCCAAAACAGTACTTCTGTCTTGTCAGGATTCAACCTCAATCTGTTATCCGCCATCCATCCTCCAATCACCTCCAGGCACTCACACAGGACCTTCACTGGTTCTGATGTGAAAGAGAGGTAGAGCTGGGTATCATCCGCATACTGATGAACACCCAGCCCAAACCCCCTGATGATCTCTCCCCGCGGCTGCATGTAGATGTTGTAAAGCATGGGGGAGAGGACGGAACCCTGAGGCACCCCACAAGTGAGAGCCCAGGGGTCTGAAAACTCACCCCCCAACACCACTTTCTGGACATGCAACCCATTACAGTGGTACCTCGGGTTAAGTACTTAATTCGTTTCAGAGGTCCATTCTTAACCTGAAACTGTTCTTAACCTGAAGCACCACTTTAGCTAATGGGGCCTCCCGCTGCCGCCGGAGCCCGATTTCTGTTCTCATCCTGAAGCAAAGTTCTTAACCCGAGGTACTATTTCTGGGTTAGCGGAGTCTGTAACCTGAAGCGTATGTAACCCGAGGCACCACTGTACTGCCTTCCTTTTTTTTATTCCCTTGTCCTTCTGCCAAGGAGATCTGTATTCGTACGAGGCGAGCCGGCTGAGAGAGAGAGACTGCGAGTGTGTGCCTGCGTTGACAATTATGGGACCACCGTGGTTTCAAACTGCGTTCCACATTGTGTTTTAATTTCCACCACCCGCCTGGGACCTTAAGGGGAAGCTGGGAGAGTATAATAAATTGTAGAAAGAAAAATATAGTATTATCACGCAGCGTCCAACCTTCGGCCAGGTGTCTTCCGCCTCACCTCTGTACAGGTCCTCGTGAAAAGCTGCTTCTGCCTGTTCAGCAGAGGCCGTGAGGTACAGGTCTGTGTCGTCCGACGGCTGGCATGCGTCTTCCTGCACATAGAATGCAAGAAGTTCCTGAGGTATTTATTTTTAAAATCACGCTTTTTACTTGATTAAAAAAATTAAATGTACAACAATATATATTGCAAACCCATTATAAAGAGATGGTTCTGAATTTCAAAGCTCCCCCCCCCATCCCCTCCATGGATCCTAATATCAACATTTACAACTGCATAAAGGTAAAGGTAAAGGGACCCCTGACCATTAGGTCCAGTCGTGACCGACTCTGGGGTTGCGGCGCTCATCTCGCTTTATTGGCCGAGGGAGCCGGCGTACAGCTTCCGGGTCATGTGGCCAGCAGGACTAAGCCGCTTCTGGCAAACCAGAGCAGCGCACGGAAATGCCGTTTACCTTCCCGCCGGAGCAGTACCTATTTATCTACTTGCACTTTGAGGTGCTTTCGAACTGCTAGGTGGATAGGAGCAGGGACCGAGCAACGGGAGCTCACCCCGTCATTGCGGGGATTCGAACCGCCGACCTTCTGATCAGCAAGTCGTAGGCTCTGTTCTATATTATAGTAAAGGTAAAGGGACCCCTGACCATTAGGTCCAGTCATGGCCGACTCTGGGGTTGCGGCGCTCATCTCGTTTTACTGGTCAAGGGAGCCGGCGTACAGCTTCCGGGTCGTGTGGCCAGCAGGACTAAGCCGCTTCTGGCGAACCAGAGAAGTGCGCGGAAACGCTGTTTACCTTCCCGCCAGAGCGGTACCTATTTATCTACTTGCACTTTGATGTGCTTTCGAACGGCTAGGTGGGCAGGAGTAGGGACCGAGCAACGGGAGCTCACCCCGTCATTGCGGGGATTTGAACCACCGACCTTCTGATCGGCAGGTCCTAGGCTCTGTGGTTTAACCCACAGCGCCATCCGTGTTAAGTTAGGAAGGATATTAAATAATACATTGTCTCCTGCCACCCTGAATATTCCCACAAATCCAGCAGCGGAAGTCCCCGCGCAGGAAGCTCTCCCTCTGCAACAGCAACCCTCTCTGAAATGTTCCCCCCTTACCTTGTTCTCGGCCGCGTCGGCGTCTTCCCGAACCGCGTCTTCGGGGTTTTCCGGCAAAGCGCCGTCGGTTTCGAAGATGGCAGGGTAGAAGGTTACGAGGGCCTCGACGATGCGGGCTTGATGCGGGTAGTCGACCAGCGAGGAGAGGGAAACGGTGGCTTCCGTGGGTCTCGGGCGCATCAGCGTGGGGCCAAAGACGATGCCCAGATTGCCAGGGGTCATCTTGTTTTCTTGTTCGACTTCGACGATCCTGGGGGGAGAACGGGCAGGACAACACAGCTCACAAGGGAACTTAGGTCTGATTTGCAGCACCGAGGGAGCGGGGTCTTCTAATTCTAAATACAGTGGTACATTGGTTCTCAAAGGTCTTGGTACTCAAACAACTTGGAACCCAAACCCGGAAGGAAGTGTTCCGGTTTGGGAACTGTTTTTGGAAGCCAAACGTGATCCGTTTTGAGTGTTTACGCTTCCGTTTTGAGCATAGCTGTCAACTTGCAGATTTGAAAGTAAGGGACCAGCAGCCTTGAAAATAAGGGATCAGCAGCCAAAATAAGGGATTTTAAGAGCACAGGTATGTTTGACTTCTGAGCCCCTCTGAGCCAAAGGCAGAAAGCCCAGCCAGCAGCCAAACGAAGCCTCAAGCGGTGGTTCCCACAGCGCAGCAACCCAGGAAAGGGGATGCAGCAAGGAAAACCACCATCACCTCTCCGCTGGGAAGCGCTGAGCAAAGGCGAGTCCCCAGGCAACGCGGCCGATTTGATCGGCACAAGGCATGCAAGCTCCACCCCCCAGTCGTTCTTAGACTCCTTATTGGGTGAGCAACGCAGCCAAGCAACACAGTTGGAGCCTGCCTCCTCCCTGGCCGGCAGGGAGGGAGGGAGAGGAGCTGCTTCCTTTGAAACCCGGGAAATTTAAGAGACATCATCAATAAGGGACAGCAGTGGGACACGGCACTGGGATAAGGGACTGTCCCGCCAAATACGGGACGCTTGACAGCTGTGGTTTTGAGTGTTACACTGAGATCTGTCTGTTTTCGCCATTTATTTTGAGTTTTTGCAGCTCGTTTTGTTTTTGCGACTATGTGGAACCCAGTTCAGCTACCGGTTGACTGATTGTGTGGCTGCGGAAATGGATAAAAGCCCCCCGGCCAAACAATGACTATCAACAGTGCAGGTAAGAAAAAAGAGTAATTTTAAATCTTATCGTCTACGATACTGGCTTATTCATTTTACAGTACACTACATTGATTGTTGCTTTCATTTTATGATTCACTGGTCTCATTAGATAGTAAAAATCATGCTGTTTTAGGGGTTGTTTGTCAAAGCCTGGAACGGATTAACCCGTTTTGCATGACTTCCTATGGGAAAGCGTGCCTCGGTTTTGGAACGCTTTGGTTTTGGAACGGAATTTCCGGAACGGATTAAGTTTGAGAACCAAGGGACCACTGTACCAGCCGTTGTAGAAGGAAGAAGAAGAAGAAGAAGAAGAAGAATTTGGATTTGATATCCCGCCTTTCACTCCCTTTAAGGAGTCTCAAAGCGGCTAACATTCTCCTTTCCCTTCCTCCCCCACAACAAAAACCCTGTGAGGTGAGGCTGAGAGACTTTGGAGAAGTGTGACTGGCCCAAGGTCACCCAGCAGCTGCAGGTGGAGGAGCGGAGACGCGAACCCGGTTCCCCAGATTACGAGACTACCGCTCTTAACCACTACACCGCACTGGCTCTCACACTGGGAGTGAAAATCTCACCACCCCCCTTTTATTGGAGGCAGGGTCTCCAACCAGCAGTCCCTCTCCCACTTACCTCCTCAAATGCAGAACGATGTACTTTAGGGTGGACAAGTTCTCCGACGGAAGCTCCTTCAGAAGCTCCCTCAGCTTCGTCACCAGCGCCACGACCACCTTCTCGGTCTCGGGTCCTCTGTCCACCAGCTCGGTGATACTCTTCCCGGGCCTGCCCTCGGCTCCTCCCTGCACACTCTCCTTGGCCAACCCCATAAGGCTGTTGTACATGCGGAATGGCATGATGGGTTCCGGGAGCTGCAGCCAATGATATAATGTCCTTGATCAGCCCAGTATACCTGAAGGAGCGTCTCCACCGCCATCGTCCAGCCCGGACACCAGGGTCCATCTCCCGAGGGCCTTCTGGCAGTTCCCTCCCTGCGAGAAGTGAGGTTACAGGGAACCAGGCAGAGGGCCTTCTCGGTGGTGGCGCCCTCCCGTCAGATGTCAAGGAAATAAACAGCTCTCTGACTTTTAGAAGACATCTGAAGGCAGCCCTGTTTAGGGAAGTGTTTAATGTTTGGTGTTTTATCGTGTTTTTAATATTTTGGGAGCCGCCCAGAGTGGCTGGGGAAACCCAGCCAGATGGGCAGGGTATAAGTAATAAATTAATATTATATCATCATCATCATCATTATTATTACTAAGCTATGTCTGGTCTTCCAGTGAGGAGGACAGATGGAAGGACAGATCACTGGAAGGACAGATTGTGAAGCTGAGGCTCTAAGACTTTGGCCACCTCATGAGAAGAGAAGACTCCCTGGAAAAGACCCTGATGTTGGGAAAGATGGAGGGCACAAGGAGAAGGGGACGACAGAGGACGAGACGGTTGGACAGTGTTCTCGAAGCTACCAGCATGAGTTTGACCAAACTGCGGGAGCCAGTGGAAGACAGGAGGGCCTGGCGTGCTCTGGTCCAGGGGGTCACGAAGAGGCGGACACGACTAAACGACTCAACAACAACAACATGTCTGGTCTGGAGGAGAGAAAACGGCGGGTTTGATTTCCGTATGGGGCAGCGTGCAGGAGTTGGATTCCCCCCCCCCCCCTCTACAATTCTATGAAAGGAGATTCCGACTAAACATGAGGAAGAATTTTCTGATGGTAAGAGCTGTTCGGTCATGGGATGGAAGATGGCGAACTCTCCTACCCTGGGAGGTTTTTAAAGCAGTGGTTGGGTGGCCATCTGCCATGGGTGCCCTAGCCAAGATTCCTGCATTGCAAGTGGTTGGACTGGGGTCCCTTCCAACAATTCTATCATTCTACGACCTGCGGACACCGTGGTCATAAAACAGGCATAGCCAAACACTGGCCCTTCATATGTTTTGGGACTACAATTCCCATCACCCCTAGCTAACAGGACCAGTGGTCAGGGATGATGGGAATTGTAGTCCCAAACATCTGGAGGGCCGGAGTTTGCCTATGCCTGTCCTAAAATCAAGTGTTTCTTCCTTCTCCGCATGCAGAAGGGAGCCCTCAATATTGTCACCTTGCAGCCCAAAGACTACCCAGGCATAGCTGTCAACTGTCCCTTATTTGGCGGGGAAGTCCCTTATCCCAGCTCCGTGTCCCGCTGCTGTCCCTTATTGATGATGTCCCTTCAATTTCCCGGGTTTCAAAGGAAGCAGCTCCTCTCCCTCCCTCCCTGCCAGCCAGGGAGGAGGGAGGCTCCAGCTGTGTTGCTCGACTGCGTTGCTCACCCAATAAGGAGTCTAAGAACGACTGGGGGGTGGCGCTTGCATGCCTTGTGCCGATCAAATCGGCCGCGTTGCCTGGGGACTCGCCTTTGCTCAGCGCTTCCCAGCGGAGAGGTGACGGTGGTTTTCCTTGCTGCGTCCCCTTTGCCGGGTTGCTGCGCTGTGGGAACCACCGCTTGAGGCTTCGTTTGGCTGCTGGGTGACTAAAATCCCTTATTTCGGCTGCCGATCCCTTATTTTCGAGGCCGCTGGTCCCTTATTTCCAGATCTGTAAGTTGACAGCTATGCGCCCAGGTCCCACGCACCGCCCCGGGGAGACCCACCTGCCGCAGGTAGAGCTTCAGAACGTTGCTGATGTCGTGAGGATAGGCCTGGGACAGCTCGACCAACTCTTTCCCGTTCTCAAAGGCCTGGCATAGCTTCTCCACGCGGGTTTTCACGCCGTTGACACGGTAGATGCCCTAGAGCAGAGGTGGCGAACCGTTTAGAGACCCGAGTGCCCAAGCTTGCAACCCGAAACCCACCAATCGATTGCGAAGCGGCAACAACAGGGCAATTTAATATGGGATGATAATGATTGTCTGCATGACTGGAAGAGTCCGCGATCAGAAGGAGGAGGAGCACCAGGACGAATGGATGAAATTCAAAGACTATTTAGTTAAATACGCTAAGATAGCTTCATTGGAAAAGCTTGCAGATTCCAGACAGGCTTAGGATTTAATTGTGTGATTTTAGAGAATAATATGGTTAAAGTCAAAACGAAAACAAAGTAAGAGATTAAGGGATTAAGTGAATTTTATGAGAAAATAAGTTTTGGAAAACTGTTACAATGATACACAGCCAGGGGGATTTGAGGAAGTCACTTAACAATGTTACTAAGATTGGATGAAGTACAGTTAAGATGTATGTCTGTCTGTTTGTTTAAAATTTTGGAAAACCAATAAATTTTTTTTGGGAAAATGAATAAATAAATAAATGATTGTCTGCATGCGCACATAACAAATAAATTTAAATCAATAAATAAACCCAGCCAGATGGGCGGGGAATAAAGAATATTATATTATTATTATTATTATTATTATTATTACTATATGCTGTTTTTTAAAATAATTATTCATTTTAAAATAAATAGATTTATTTAATTTAATAAATAGATTTAAAATAATTATTCATTTAAAATAAATAGATTTATGAAAAAACAGACGGACAAACAAGTAGACAAACATACAATCAAACAAACATATAACAAAAGAATTAAACTAACCACCGCACTATAAGATACATCAAGATTTGATTTCAGTACCAGGAATATATATGATGGTAGCTATCGTTATAAATATTCCTGGTACTGAAATCAATTCTTATAGAGAAGAAAATTAAAAATTGACTTCCAATTAATCCCACTGTACTTTTAACTATCCATTACTTTATACCGCACAGTTACATTGGGGTTTTTTTTTATATCCACGCTGCTCACCTTGGTCTTCATCGCCCGCCTCTCGATCTCGCAGATGCACTTTTTCACGATGAAGGGAACCCCGTCGGAACTGAGGCGGCTCTGCTGGGCAAAGTCCCTGCCGAACAGCTGCAGTTTTCCCTGGAGCTTCTTGTGTCCACACTGAATGGCCAGAGTCTCCAGGCACTTTTTGTGGCAGGCGAGGTAGCACTGCGGGTGACGGCGGCAGGGGAAAAACCAGCGGCGTGAGAGGAGGGTGCCCCCAGTTCTAGAAAGGGCCACCAGGTGGTGCTGCTTGCCCTGCCCCTCCCCGGCTGCTTTTAGACTAGGCAACTTAAGGCTGATCGCCGGAGAATGGATGCTTTTGAATTCTGGTGCTGGAGGAGACTCTTGAGAGTCCCATGGACTGCAAGAAGATCCAACCTCTCCATTCGGAAGGAAATCAGCCCTGAGTGCTCACGGGAAGGACAGATCCTGAAGCTGAGGCTCCAAGACTTTGGCCACCTCATGAGAAGAGAAGACTCCCTGGAAAAGACCCTGATGTTGGGAAAGATGGAGGGCACAAGGAGAAGGGGACGACGGAGGACGAGATGGTGGGACAGTGTTCTCGAAGCTACCAGCATGAGTCTGACCAAACTGTGGGAGGCAGTGGAAGACAGGAGGGCCTGGCGTGCTCTGGTCCAGGGGGTCACGAAGAGGCGGACATGACTAAACAACTCAACAACAACAAGGCAACTTAAGGGACATGGGAGGCGCTGTGGGTTAAACCACAGAGCCTAGGACTTGCCGATCAGAAGGTTGGCAGTTCGAATCCCCACGGGGTGAGCTCCCATTGCTCGGTCCCTGCTCCTACCAACCTAGTACTTCAAAAGCACGTCAAAGTGCAAGTAGATAAATAGGTACCACTCCGGCGGGAAGGTAAGCGGTGTTTCCGTGCGCTGCTCTGGTTCGCCAGAAGCAGCTTAGTCTTGTTGGCCACATGACCCGGAAGCTGTATGCCGGCTCCCTCTGCCAGTAAAGCGAGATGAGCGCCGCAACCCCAGAGTCGGCCACGACTGGACCTAATGGTCAGGGGTCCCTTTAACTTTACCTTTAGGCAACTTAAGGGATATGGGTGGCGCGGTGGGTTAAACCACAGAGCCTAGGACTTGCCGATCAGAAGGTTGGTGGTTCGAATCCCCGCAATGACGGGGTGAGCTCCCGTTGCTCGGTCCCTGCTCCTGCCCACCTAGCAGTTCGAAAGCACGTCAAAGTGCAAGTAGATAAATAGGTACCGCTCCGGCAGGAAGGAAAACGGTGTTTCCGTGCGCTGCTCTAATGAGTGGCCCTCGGTGGGCCATGTGTCCCTCAGAGTGGGACCCCCCACTCGAAATGGAATCGTAGAATCGTACAGTTGGAAGGGGGGTTCCCCCAAAGGTCATCCAGCCCAACTCCCCTGCAACTTGCAAATCCACAGGCTTCCTACCTCCTCGCACTCGGCTCCCTGGAAATACACGTAGCTGTTGCACTCCCTGCATTTCGAAGGGGACCGCAGCTTCCTCAGTCGGTGGGTCTGCGCAGCTTTGGATAAACCCATGTGGCGGAAAGGGCCGGTGGGCGTCGAGATCTCCGGGGTCATGTCGTCGATACCTGGGAATCAGGGAAGGGAAAGGGCCGGTGTGATGGCCTGGGATTCGGACTCGGAGGCTGAACCTGAGGAATCCCAGCCTGCACAGGAGTCCCCGCCTCCAGAACCAGCTGAGCCGGGGCTGGGGCTTGACCCTGAAGGGTCCTCACCTGTGCTGGGTCCTCAGGTGAGTCTGCTCTGGCTCCTGAGGTGATGGAGGACCCATTGCCTGCAGGTGCTCCACTCTCAGCCCCGTCAGAGGAAGCTGAGGTTGCCTCTGGGTCTGGGAACCCTCCAGCCTCTCCTGAGCTGCAGAGGCTCAGGGCAGAGAGGCGGAGGGAACTAAGTTCCCGCAGGAGGAGTGCTCGCCTCCAGGCCAGGAGAGGTGAGTCACCAGAGGATCGGGGCTGCCCTGTGCCTCGGGGCATATAAAAGCCAGCCAGCCCCAGTCCCAGGTTGCGGGAGCAACATTGTTGGTAGCCTGTTCCTGCCTGCACCCTGTCCTGCTCTTCTGCCAGAGCTCCTGATCTCACCCGACTCCCTGCCTTGGACCCAGCTTCAGCTTTGACGGACAGCCTCCATACCACACTCTCGGACCTCGCCGCACGGTTAACCCTCAGGACCAGCACAGCTGGTTTAGCTGCCCCAAAAGACCTGCTTTCAAGGTGCAAACGAGAGCAATTCGAACTACTGGAATGTAAATACAGTGGTACCTTGGTTCTCAAACGCCTTGGTTCCCAAACGCTAAAACCCTGGAAGTAAGTGGTTTTCTAACGATTTTCAGAAGCTGAACGTCTGACTCGGCTATTGTTTCTGGGGCGCCTTCGCCAATCAGAAGCCGCACCTCGATTTTCAAACATTTCAGAAGTCAAACGGACCTCCGGAACGGATTACAGTGGTACCTCGCAAGACGAATGCCTCGCAAGACAAAAAACTCGCAAGACGAAAGGGTTTTTGGTTTTTTGAGTTGCTTCACAAGAGGATTTTCCCTATGGGCTTGCTTCGCAAGACGGAAACGTCTTGCAAGTTCGTTTCCTTTTTCTTAACACCGTTAATACAGTTGCGACTTGACTTTGAGGAGCAACTCATAGCACGCGGTGTGGTAGCCTTTTTTGAGGTTTTTGAAGACTTTGGTGATTTTTGAAGCTTTTCCAAAACTTTCCCGACACTGTGCTTCGCAAGACGAAAAAAATCGCAAGACGAAGAAACTTGTGGAACGAATTAATTTCGTCTTGCGAGGCACCACTGTAAGTTTGGCGCTTTTGTTTTTGCTATTTATTTTGCGTTTTTGTTTGCAGTTGCACCTCAAATACAAAGGCTGTGCTGTATTGTGTACAGTGGTGCCCCGCAAGACGAATGCCTCGCAAGACGAAAAACTCGCTAGACGAAAGGGTTTTCTGTTTTTTGAGTCATTCGGCAAGACGAATTTCCCTATGGGCTTGCTTTGCAAGACAAAACGTCTTGCGAGTTCTTGCGAGTTTGTTTCCTTTTTCTTAAAGCCGCTAAGCCGTTAATAGCTGCTAAGCCGCTAAGGCGTTAATAGCCGCTAATAGCCGCTAAGCCACTAATAGCCGTGCTTCGCAAGACGAAAAAACCGCAAGACGAAGAGACTCGCGGAACGGATTAATTTCGTCTTGCGAGGCACCACTGTACATTCTGCCCCTAGAGGTCGCTAACGTGGCACTGTATTGTAATGCATACGATCTGCCGCTAGGTGTTGCTGTTGCAGTGGGCCCCAAGTACAAAGGCTCTGTTGTATTGTACATATTCTGCCGCTCAATCCCTGCCCCCTGCAATCCCGTATTCCATGCTACTTGTCCTCAGGACCACCGGGTATAATCCTTTCCCCCTTCCACGCCGGACCCCCTACCCCACCCCTCGGCTAACAACGGGCTGTACCTCTGCCCCCCAGAACGTACTTTGCTCAAAGGAAGGCGAATTCCCGTCCGACTCGTCTCCGGGAGACGTCCCGTTACTTGGCACCGCCTGGGACTTCTGGGAGAACCCACCTACCCGAGAAGGAAACCCGATGTCAGGAGGGGAGATCAAAGCCAAAGCAAATTCGCACCCGGCTCTTTTTTATGTCCCACCCGGGCGCAAAGAAGGGGCGGGGTCTGGGGAGAAGGGGCGTGGCCTACAGAGATTCCTAATAGCCAGGGAGGTGGGTGTTTCAAGACCACCCAACTTGTGGGCCAGGGTTCCTGCATCGCCCGGGGGGTTGGGATGGATGACCCCACGGGGTCCCGGCCAAGTCTTTGTGACTCTACCTGAGCTGGCGGTGGGACCGGATTCGAGGCTGCCCTTTGTCTCCGCAATAGCCGTCGGCCACGATTTGTGCAGCTGGTGGCCCCGCCCACCTGAGGAGCCAATTACAGGGCAAGGTTTTGTTACCGGGTCGTTTTGAGTTTTGGGCGTGGTGAAATTCCCTGCCTTTGCGAGACTGTCCCTTTCAGGAATTGGAAAGGTGTGCATTTTATATATAACATATGTGTATAGAATTGTTTTCATAGATATGTATATATCTTTACCCAAGTGTTTTAATTATTGCCTAAATTAATTTTTCAAATATCGTATTTTTTGCTCTTTAAGACTCACTTTTTCCCTCCTAAAAAGTAAGGGGAAATGTGTGTGCGTCTTACGGAGCGAATGCAGGCTGCGCAGCTATCCCAGAAGCCAGAACAGCAAGAGGAATCGCTGTTTTCACTGCGCAGCGATCCCTCTTGCTGTTCTGGCTTCTGAGATTCAGAATATTTTTTTTCTTGTTTTCCTCCTCCAAAAATTAGGTGCGTCTTGTGTTCTGGTGCGTCTTATAGAGTGAAAAATACGGTATTTTATTCCTTAGGTTACTCGGAAATGCCTCTGAAGATTCAGGATTCCTTGGTTGCCATTTGCTCCCTGCAGGTGTTGCAAAAGGCGGTAGACTGCCTGCCGCCATGGAAGCTCCGCTAAGCGGTTTTTTTGCACGAGTTGCAATCTTGCCGAATTTGTCCTGACTGCAAAAATTGAGGTGTGCGTGTGTGCAGCTTTTATCGAGGGCTGCGAGTGCGGAAGAAGACTCACCTCGTCGCTCGGGGTTGGCCGGCCGGCTCTGCGCTCCCTCGCCCTCTGAAGCCGCCGCCTCTTTGCCGGACGCTTCAGATCCGCTGGCTGCTGGTAAATCGCCGGTGGTGAAACTACTTTTTCTCGCCCGGGCCAGAGGAGACCTGTGGGGGAAATAAACAACTATCTGAATCTTGGAAGACAACTGAAGGCAGCCCTGTTTAGGGAAGTTTTTAATGTCTGATGTTTTATTGTGTTTTTAATATTCTGTCTGGAGCAGCCCAGAGTGGCTGGGGAAACCAAGACAGATTGGTCATGTGTAAGCAAATAATAATAATAATAATAATAATAATAATAATAATAATAATAATAATAATAATAATAAAAAATACTGCAGCTGCAAAGCTTGGCAATGCAAGTCAGGTTCCCTGTTGTAGCAGAACACTCGCTCAGTACTTTAAAATCAGAACTGTAGAGTTGGAAGGGGACCTCGGGGGTCATCCAGTCTGACCCCTGCAAGGCTAGATTTTTTTGTGTGCAAAATGGGGTTCGAACCCGCGACCTTGAGGTCAAGAGTCTCGCGTTCCATCTAACCTTCCCAGAAACGCCATGAGGGTTTGAACCCGTTGCCTTCTACACTCAGAGCAGTTGTTCTGCCTCTGACCTTCCCTGAGCGCCTTCCCTCGGGAACTGGAAAGGGGTAGGGGCAGGATTCGAATCCGGGATCACCCACCAGCTGTTGTTGGAGACGTAGGGCTCGAAGTCGTACTGGGTCTCGGGCTCGTCTCCCCGCTGCAGCTGCTTGACGTGTGAGGCGTACTGCTGCCCGGGGTCGTAGAGTTTGCTGCTCTCGCACAACGTCTGGAAGTAGACGGGCAGAGGGGCTGTTTGCATATGCATGGTTTGGAAGAAGGAGATGGTGGCCTGGAGATTGCGGACGGAAAAAGGAGGGACACACGTCAGAGGCAGCAGGAGGGCTGATCATAGCTGTCAACTTACAGATTTGAAAATAAGGGACCAGCAGCCTCGGAAGTAAGGGATCAGCAGCCAAAATAAGGGATTTTCCAGGCACAGGTATGTTGAACTTCTAAGCCCCTCCGAGTCAAAGGCAGAAAGCCCAGCCAGCAGCCAAACGAAGCCTCAAGCGGTGGTTCCCACAGCGCAGCAACCCGGCAAAGGGTACGCAGCAAGGAAAACCACCGTCACCTCTCCGCTGGGAAGCGCTGAGCAAAGGCGAGTCCCCAGGCAACACGGCTGATTTGATCGGCACAAGGCATGCAAGCTCCACCCCCCAGTCGTTCTTAGACTCCTTATTGGGTGAGCAACACAGCCAAGCAACCCAGTTGGAGCCTCCCTCCTCCCTGGCCGGCAGGGAGGGAGAGGAGCTGCTTCCTTTGAAACCCGGGAAATTTAAGGGACATCGTCAATAAGGGACAGCAGCGGGACACGGCGCTGGGATAAGGGGCTTTCCCACCAAATAAGGGACGCTTGACAGCTATGGGTCTGATCCATCGCAGTGGCGTAGCAAGGGAAGGGGGTGCCTGTGGTGACGCAGAACCATTAGGGGCACCGAATGTTGACACCCGGCGCTATGCCGACACAGCTGTGCGCTTCTGTTGAGAACGAACCAGGAAGGGAGCTCTCCAGAACGACTCTTTTCTTATCTCTGTGGTCGCAATGCGCATGCGTACTCCGTCTGTCCCCCTCCCTTCCCTAAGGCCCCGGGCACTGCCAACCCACGATACGCCTCTGATCCGATCTTCATATACCCAACTGTGTCCCCAACTCCGTACTTCTGTTAGAAGCTGGTGAATGCCCAATTTCAACTAAAACGTGGTGGGCTGCCCTAAAACATGGGCTCAGTGTTTGATCTAGGGAAGGGTTTGTACCAACACCCGACCAATGAGGAATTTGTCAGCAAATGGCAGAAAACCATGGCTAAAAAAGCCACCTCTATTGGTCTGTCTCCCCCCAACTGTATTACCTGGGTTATGAAGGCGCCCTAAAGACGTTAAAGCAAAGATTATGGGATAATGCACACAGTGACTTGCGATCTCGATCACACGCAGTCTGTAGTCCGCTGGCAGTAGGAGTACAATATGGGCATGTCTTTAAGTTAACACCTTACATTAAAAACCTGACAGTACCAACCTATCAAAGGCTTTTCACCAAAGCCAGACTAAACGTCTTTCCTTCTGCAGTGTTGAGAGGAGTTCCCTACCAGGACAGACTTTGCTCGTATGCTCAAGACATCGATTCCATAAAACATATCTTGCTGCACTGTGCAAAATATGAGCAAGCCAGGGCTGAACTGATATTCCCCTTGCTGGTACCTTTCCCGGGAAAATCAGAGGCTCACTATGCCAGGTTCCTTTTGGACGCTAGAACATTAGCAGTGGCCAAGTTTTTATCGGCAGTTGCAAGAACCAATGATCCCTATAAAAAGGTAAAGGTACCCCTGCCCGTACGGGCCAGTCTTGCCAGACTCTAGGGTTGTGCGCCCATCTCACTCAAGAGGCCGGGAGCCAGCGCCGTCCGAAGACACTTCCGGGTCACGTGGCCAGCGTGACAAGCTGCATCTGGCGAGCCAGCGCAGCACACGGAACGCCGTTTACCTTCCCGCTTGTAAGCGGTCCCTATTTATCTACTTGCACCCGGGGGTGCTTTCGAACTGCTAGGTTGGCAGGCGCTGGGACCGAACGACGGGAGCGCACCCCGCCGAGGGGATTCGAACCGCCGACCTTTCGATCGGCAAGCCCTAGGTGCTGAGGCTTTTACCCACAGCGCCACCCGCGTCCCTAATGATCCCTATATTCTGAACAAAATGCTTGTTTAACCTGGAGGAGGCCAAGGCCCACAGTGCGACCAAAGTTGGGCACAGACGTGTCTCTGTTGTGGTTTAAACAAAAAGAAAGTTGCCAGTCGTCGTGGTGGCAAGGAGATGTTCGGAAGCACGACTCTGAGCGCTTGAGAGACCCACCGATTTGATGATCTGGTCGCTCTGCTTGACCACTTCGTGGAGCTGTCGCAAGGCGGTCACTTTTGTATCCTCCATCTCCTGTTTCTGTGTGTTGGCGTCGGCGATGCACGTCCGGTAAGTCGCCATCGCCTCGTCGGCCTGGGGCGGGCAAGGAGAGTTAGCGTCGCCAAGAGAGGCATGGGATGGGCAGCGAGGACGGGAGCCCCGTTATTTCAGCTCAAAAAAAAAGGGGCGACTCTAACGATTTAAGCTTCTGGTGCATGACTCACCTTGTTCCTGGCTTCCTCCTCTAGTCGCCTCTTTTTGTCCAGAGCTTTGGTGGCCGCAGTGCTGCTGCCCACGCTGGACCCCAGCTGCTCCTCTTCCGCCTTCACCATCACATCCTTGGCTTTTTCAGACTCCTCCGATCGCTGCATGTACATCTGGCGGGCTTTTCTCAGGTTGCTCTCGGCCTCTTGCTATTTGGGGGGGGGGCACACAGGTTAAGACCCTGCCTTGTTTCCCAAAAACATGCCATCCCAAACAAATGCTGCATCAATCGGAGTATAGCATCTAGATCAAGGGAAGTAATAGTGCCACTGTATTCTGCTCTGGTCAGACCTCACCTGGAGTACTGTGTCCAGTTCTGGGCACCACAGTTCAAGAAGGACACTGACAAACTGGAACGTGTCCAGAGGAGGGCAACCAAAATGGTCAAAGGCCTGGAAAGGATGCCTTATGAGGAACGGCTAAGGGAGCTGGGCATGTTTAGCCTGGAGAAGAGGAGGTTAAGGGGTGATATGATAGCCATGTTCAAATATATAAAAGGATGTCACATAGAGGAGGGAGAAAGGTTGTTTTCTGCTGCTCCAGAGAAGCGGACACGGAGCAATGGATCCAAACTACAAGAAAGAAGATTCCACCTAAACATTAGGAAGAACTTCCTGACAGTAAGAGCTGTTCGACAGTGGAATTTGCTGCCAAGGAGTGTGGTGGAGTCTCCTTTTTTGGAGGTCTTTAAGCAGAGGCTTGACAACCATATGTCAGGAGTGCTCTGATGGTGTTTCCTGCTTGGCAGGGGGTTGGACTCGATGGCCCTTGTGGTCTCTTCCAACTCTATGATTCTATGATTCTAAATCTCGTTTCATTTTCTTTTCTTTCTTTTCTTTAAAATAATTTTTATTAAGTTTCTTACAAATATAACACATATCACAGCAAAAGAAAAACAGACGAGATCACAAATATAAACAAAAAATAAAATAAACAGCAAGAGGTACCTAAATACCTAAACAACCTAATCACCTAAACAACACAAATTAATTAATTAATTAGACTTCTAACCTCATTAACATATTTTGGGCTTCCACTGAGCCCTCCCATCTGAATTTCCTAGTAATTAAAATGTAGCAGTTTTCTGGTACCGTTCTTTAAAAACACAGTATTCCAATTAAAATAAAATTTCTTAACTTTCCTTTAGGTTCTAAATCCTTTTTTATTTAATTAACTCTTAATTTAATCCTAGGCCTACTCTGGTACTTTCAAGTAATTTCTAAGTTTTGATATCACAGTGTTTATTCATACAGTCCTTAAATTTCTTCCACTCTTCTTGGGTGTTCCTCTTCTTTTTGGTCGCGGACTCTTCCAGTAAGGTCAGCCAGCTCCATATATTCCATCATTTTAAAATCTTGTTTCATTTTCCGTAAGAATTATGAGATCGGTGGATCATGGGAATGCAAGGGACATCATATGTCTTGATTTCAGTAAGGCTTGCGGCAAAGTCCCCCATGATATTCTCTGAAGGAGCGTCTCCACCCCCATCGTCCAGCCTGGACACGGAGGTCCAGCTCTGAGGGCCTTCTGGCGGTTCCCTCCCTGTGAGAAGCGAGGTTGCAGGGAACCAGGCAGAGGGCCTTCTTGGTGGTGGCGCCCGCCCTGTGAACGGCCACCCAGCAGATGTCAACTATTAGAAGACATCTGAAAGCAGCCCTACTTAGGGTGCATGCTCTGGTTATCTCCCGCTTGGACTACTGCCATGCGCTCTACGTGGGGCTACCTTTGAAGGTGACTCGGAAACTACAACTAATCCAGATTGCGGCAGCTAGACTGGGGACTGGGAGCGGCCGCCGAGACCATACAACACTAGTCCCGAAAGACCTGCATTGGCTCCCAGGATGTTTCCGAGCACAATTCAAAGTGTTGGTGCTGACCTTGAAAGCCCTAAATGGCCCAGTATACCTGAAGGAGCGTCTCCACCCCCATCGTCCAGCCCGGACACGGAGGTCCAGCTCCGAGGGCCTTCTGGCGGTTCCCTCCCAGCGAGAAGTGAGGTTACAGGGAACCAGGCAGAGGGCCTTCTCGGTGGCGGCGCCCGCCCTGTGTAACACCCTCCCAATAGATGTCAAGGAAATAAACAATTATCTGACTTTTAGAAGACATCTAGAGGCAGCCCTGTTTAGGGACGCTTTTAATGTTTGATGTTTTATCAAGTTTTTAATATTCTATCTGGAGCCGCCCAGAGTGGCTGGGGAAATCCAGCCAGATGAGAGGGGTATAAATAATTATTAATAATATTCTTATTATTAAGAAGTTGGTAAAATGTTGGTTGAACGAGGAAACTGTCAGGTGACTTTGCATCTGGTTAACTGACCAAAACTGCTCACTAATGGTTTCACACCATCGTGAGAAAATGTGATAACGTCATTCAATGCCACTCCGATTTGAATTTATTTTCTTCTATTCTGTCTGCAGCATTTTGAACTGATGCACACTTTTGTTTCGGGCCATCCTACCCATGCAGCCCGTTTAAAAGCACCTGGGTTCACCCAAAGAACAGGGGTTGCGAGCTTAAGAGGACACAGCATTAAAGGAAAGTGGATCAGGGAGGGAGAAGGAAAAATCAAAACTCTGTCACCATGCATTTGGAGTTAGAAGGTCTTTGTGCAACCCCCTGCAATGTGGGGATTGCAGTTAAATGCCCCCCGAGCCCCAAATCCTCACCAGTTTCCGCTGAGCCCGGTGCCACTGCTCCTTGACCTCTTTCCGACGTTTCTCGTGTTCAAGGCGCCTGGTTGCCAACGGCTGAAGAGGAAAAATAACAGGGAGGGATGAGGAATGGCTAAGTCCTTTGGCTGTAACTGGGCGACTTCTGGTTTTCAACACAGTGATACAGTGGTTCCTTGGTTCTCACATGCCTTGGTACCCAAATGCCTTGGTTCCCAAACACCGAAAACCCATAAATTCTGCTTTTTGACTGTTTTCCGGAAGCCTAACGTCCGATGCGGCTGTCGGCTATTGTTTCCAGGGTGCCTGCACCAATCAGAAGCTGCGCCTTGGTTTCCGAACATTTCGGAAGTCAAACGGACTTCCGGAACGGATTACGTTTGGCGCTTTTGTTTTTGCTATTTATTTTGCTTTTTTGTTTTTGAGGCTTTTTCGGTTCATTTGTTTCGGTTCTGTGCGGAACCCAGTTCAGCTACTGATCGATTGATTGATAGATTAAAGGTAAAGGGACCCCTGACCATTAGGTCCAGTCGTGGCCGACTCTGGGGTTGCGGCGCTCATCTCGCTTTATTGGCCGAGGGAGCCGGCGTACAGCTTCCGGGTCATGTGGCCAGCAGGACTAAGCCGCTTCTGGCGAACCAGAGCAGCGCACGGAAACGCCGTTTACCTTCCCGCCGGAGCGGTACCTATTTATCTACTTGCACTTTGACGTGCTTTCGAACTGCTAGGTGGGCAGGAGCAGGGACCGAGCAATGGGAGCTCACCCGGTTGCGGGGATTCGAACCGCCGACCTTCCGATCGGCAAGCCCTGGGCTCTGTGATAGGTTAGCTGATAGGTAAATCCGTCGCTGCCGCCACATCGGAAAGAAGAGGGAATGTGCTCTTTCCACCAGCTCCCCTCTTACCTGAAGGAATGTTTCTGAGCGCAAGGTGACGGCCGCTTTCTGCGAGTTGACTCCGAACTCGGCGTCTTGCTCCAGCGCCAGGGAGTAGATGGAGAAAAAGGGCATGAAAGGCTGAGAAACAGGAAAAACGGGGGTCAGTTTGTGCAAGGAGCGAAAACGACCGGACCAGAAGGCACACCAAACACCAGGTCCTTCAACCCTTTTGTCACAGAATTGCCCCAGAACTTTAGTTCTGCTCAGTGTTGTCTGAATTAAACAGAGAAATCTTGCATCTCTTAGCATTGTAGAAGTCATTTACAGTGGTGCCTCGCAAGACGAAATTAATTCGTTCCGCGAGTTTTGTCGTCTTGCGGTTTTTTTCGTCTTGCGAAGCACGGTGTCGGGAAAGTTTTGGAAAAGCTTCAAAAATCACCAAAATCTTCAAAAACCTCAAAAAAGGCTACCACACCGTGTTCTATGAGTTGCTCCTCGAAGTCAAGTCGCAACTGTATTAACGGTGTTAAGAAAAAGGAAACAAACTTGCAAGAGGTTTCCGTCTTGCGAAGCAAGCCCATAGGGAAAATCGTCTTGCGGAGCAGCTCAAAAAACAAAAAACCCTTTCGTCTAGCGAGTTTTTTGTCTTGCGAGGCATTCGTCTTGGGAGGTACCACTGTATGTGAAAAGACTAGAGCTAGGCAGTTGATGAATTCATAGCTAAAGCAAACGGATAATTGTTCGGCTATATATCTTACAAAATCACCTTAACTGCTCATGCTAATCGCTATGAAGATATTTTTGTACCATATTTTAACACCTTTCAGAGCATCCCTCTGCGCTTCGGAGGCTTCGCGTTGCTATCGCGGAAGCCAAGGAGCCTGCATTCGCTCCATGGGACGCACACACATTTCCCCTTCATTTTTGGAAGGGAAAAAGTGCGTCCTATAGAGCGAAAAATACGGTATCTTGGGGTAAATTCAGAACGTGGAATTGTCGGTTGCAACAAGTCTGCTTCCCCCACCCCCACCCTCGAAAGAAAAGGTTGGGCTTTGGAGGAAAGGTAAGATAACAGGTATAAGAAATAAATAAATTCAGAAAGGGCTACACTCTAACTGCATTATGGGATGACGGTGTTACCTCCTGACTGATGGTCTGTTTGCAGGAATGAACCATCTTCTGAAGTCCCTTGGCAAACTCCATTTCTGGGCAGAGGGAGGGAAAAGAGAGTGTATTTTTTAAAATAAAAGTGTACATTAACAAAAAAAACCCTTTCTTGCAAACTCTATATTTCCCTTTCCTGGGTTATTGTTTCAGACTAGGACCTGGGAGTCTAATATTCTTTTTAAATAATTTTTCAGTTGGAGGATTGTGCCAAATTGGCAAATAATGACTGGGAGAATCAGAATTTAGGAAGATCAAAATAAGGAATGGGGAAAATTTGTAATTTATCTTTTAAAAAAAACACAACCCATTGCAAACAGTTAAAACTGTTAACAGGACTGGAATAACACTTGTAGGTTAGTGATGAATTTTGGGCATAATGGAGATGTAAAAGATTTGGGCCGGATTTAGGTTTGATGAGGCCCCAAGCTCCTGAATGTAATGGGGCCCTTTCTATGTCCAGCTGTCCTTTGTCAACAACAAATTGTTGCTGGTTTTTGTGTTGAATCTATGCTATATGGTCATTGATGGACCTCATAGGTATCTCAAGCCATTTGCACACATTACCATGCAACCAGTCCATGCAGAATGTCGGCACCCTATATATAGAAAGGAGCAAACCAGGGATATTTTAGGGAGCAGATAGGGCCCGTGACTTACATCAGTGATGGCCAAACTTGGCCCTCCAGCTGTTTTGGGACTACAACTCCCATCATCCCTAGCTAACAGGACCAGTGGTCAGGGTTGATGGGAATTGTAGTCCCAAAACAGCCAAGTTTGGCCACCACTGACTTACATCAGAGGAGCCTACACAACACAAAACACTCTTGCTGGATGTAGGTTTTATTTCATTTGTTTTTTATCTTATATTTTTGAAATGTGCATTCAGGGGTTTTTTCCCTTTAATTTTTTTGGGGCCCCCAAGAGAGCGGGGCCCTAAGCTAGCACTTGTTTAGCTTATACAGTGGTACCTCAGGCTACATACGCTTCAGGTTACATACGCTTCAGGTTACAGACTCCGCTAACCCAGAAATAGTTTCAGGTTAAGAACTTTGCTTCAGGATGAGAACAGAAATCGTGCTTTGGCGGCAGCAGGTGGCCCCATTAGCTCAAGTGGTGCTTCAGGTTAAGAACAGTTTCAGGTTAAGAACGGACCTCCGGAACGAATGAAGTACTTAACCCAAGGTAGCACTGTAGTCAAAGCTCTGGTTTCCCCAGTAGTGATGTATAGAAGTGAGAGCTGGACCATAAAGAAGGCTGATCGCCGAAGAATGGATGCTTTTGAATTCTGGTGCTGGAGGAGACTCTTGAGAGTCCCATGGACTGCAAGAAGATCAAACCTCTCCATTCTGAAGGAAATCAGCCCTGAGTGCTCACTGGAAGGACAGATCCTGAAGCTGAGGCTCCAATCCTTTGGCCACCTCCTGAGAAGAGAAGACTCCCTGGAAAAGACCCTGATGTTGTGGGAAAGATGGAGGGCACAAGGAGAAGGGGACGACAGAGGACGAGATGGTGGGACAGTGTTCTCGAAGCTACCAGCATGAGTTTGACCAAACTGCGGGAGGCAGTGGAGGACAGGAGGGCCTGGCGTGCTCTGGTCCAGGGGGTCACAAAGAGGCGGACACGACTAAACGACTAAACAACAACAACCACTGTTGTAAATATCCAGCACTGTCCACAACAGAGCAGAGGGAATCTCTGCCACTTCCCTCCCTCCCTCGCCCTACTCACCTAGGGCGGTCCTTTTCTCCAGGTAATACATTAGGTCCTTCATATACTTTGAGACGTTCTTGGCGTAATGTAAAGCCGCCTCGACTCCTCCCTCGCACCTCTGCAGGAGAACGTCCACCTCTTCGGCCGACAGACGGACTGGGGAGGGAAAGGGAAGAGAGGCATGAGATGTAAGAAGGGGTTACCTGCAGGATCTAGGCCACGAGCCCATCTATATTCTCTTTTTTGTAATTATTTTATTAGATTTTCCACAATTATAACAAAAACCGCAAAGCAGAACGACACACAAAAGCAGAAAATAAAGAAAAACACATCAACGACCGGAAAAAGGAACAATAAACAGATAAACAATGACGACAAACTTAATTCTACACAAATCCAAGGCCTATTTGTTTCTTTCAAGTAATTTCTAATTTTTTATATTACAATATTTAGTCAAATAGTCCTTAAATTTCCTCCAGTCCTCTTGAAACTCCTTTCCGGTCGCGGATTCTTCCAGTCAAGTCAGCTAGCTCCGAAAAATCCATCTATATTCTCGCAGGAGCCCCTAAGAACCCAAGAATCCGGATAGACTGGCTTGGGAGCTGGAGGTTCGACGAGAACACACAAAAGATCCTGTCTGCTTCCAGCAACCTCCAACTACGGCTGTATCTGGCCCCCGAAGGACCAGTTGCGCAGCCTGGGGGTCATTTTGGACTCACAGCTGTCCATGGAGGCGCAGGTCAATTCTGTGTCCAGGGCAGCTCCACCTGGTACGCAGGATGAGACCCTCCCTGCCCGCAGGCTGTCTCGCCAGAGTAGTGCACGCTCTGGTTGTCTCCCGCTTGGACTACTGCCATGCGCTCTCCGTGGGGCTGCCTTTGAAGGTGACCCGGAAACTGCAACTAATCCAGAATGTGGCAGCCAGACTGGTGACTGGGAGCGGCCGCCGAGACCATATAACACTGGTCCTGAAAGACCTACATTGGCTCCCAGGATGTTTCCAAGCACAATTCAAAGTGTTGGTGCTGACCTTGAAAGCCCTAAACGGCCCAGTATCCCTGAAGGAGCGTCTCCAACCCCATCGTCCACCCCGGACACCTGGGTCCATCTCCCAAGGGCCTTCTGGCGGTTCCCTCCCTGCGAGAAGCGAGGTTGCAGGGAACCAGGCAGAGGGCCTTCTCGGTGGTGGCGCCCGCCCTCTGGAACACCCTCCAGTCAGATGTCAAGGAAATAAACAACTATCTGACTTTTAGAAGACATCTGAAGGCAGCCGTGTTTAGGGAAGTTTTTAATATTTTATCTTTTATCATGTTTTTGATATTCTGTTGGGAATCGCCCAGAGTGGCTGGGAAAACCCGGCCAGACGGGCAGGGTATGTGTGTGTAGTTTTTATTATTGTTGTTGTTATTATTGTCTCAATATACAGTTTAGATTAGGAGGACCTGCTTCCAAGCTTCCCAGAAGGAGATCTTGTTTCTGGTTTCCCCAGGGTAAATTTCTTAAGGAAATAATTATAGCATGGCGGGGCTACACTCCGGAACCCCAGTGCGCTATCGCTCACGAAAGCAGCCTGACGTTTGATTATCTATGGCCCTATCAAGGTCCCATTCGTGGGGGGTTGGATCAATGCGCAAACATTAATGAAAAAGTGCGTATTAGTGAAAAAGGCAGGCCAGGCCAGAAAGCCACGAGGAAGACTCACACTTACTCGAGGTGAAACCTTCCATGCCGTCTGAGATCCCTTCGCCGCCTTGCCCTGAAATTCCCCCGTAGAGATTTTCCATCGACTGAGGGCGAGAAAACGTCGTTAGTCAAACGAGCGAGGAATTTCCAACCACGCAAAAGTCAGAGATGCACACGCACACGCATATCTGAACATCCTCAATCTGGGTGTTACAGCGGTCCCTTGGTTCTCAAACGCCTTGGCACCCAAACAACTTGGAACCCAAATTCTGCAAACCCGGAAGGAAGTGTTCTGGTTTGCGAACTTGTTTCAGAAGCCAAACGTGCTCTGATTGAGCGTTATGCTGAGGTCTGTCTGGTTTTGGTATTTAATTTGCATTTCTATTTTTGTGGCTCTTTTTCCTTTTGTTTTTGTGACTGTGTGGAACCCAGTTCAGCTGCTGATGGATGGATTGATTGATTGATTGATGGATGGATTGATTGATTGTGTGACTGCAGTACACTGTTTATCGCTTTCGTTTTACAGATCAACAGTCTCGTTAGATAGCAAAATTCATGTTAAATTGCTGTTTCAGGGCTTGCTTTTAAAATTCTCGTGCGTTCTCAATCTTAATCCGTTCCGGAAGTCCGTTCCAAAACCAAAGCGTTCCAAAACCAAGGTGTGCTTTCCCATAGAAAGGAATGCAAAATGGATTAATCTGTTCCAGACTTTTAAAAGGTAAAAAGGTAAAGGACCCCTGGACGGTTAAGTCCAGTCAAAGGCGGCTATGGGGTTGTGGCGCTCATCTTGCTTTCAGGCTGAGGGAGCCGGCGTTTGTCCACAGACAGTTTTCGGGTCACGTGGCCAGCAGGACTAAACTGCTTCTGGCGCAACGGGACACCGTGACGGAAACCAGAGCGCACGGAAACGCCGTTTACCTTCCCGCCGGAGCGGTACCTATTTATCTACTTGCACTGGCGTGCTTTCGAACTCCTAGGTTGGCAGGAGCTGGGACCGAGGAATGGGAGCTCACCCCATCACGGGGATTCAAATCCCCAACCTTCCGATCGGCAAGCCCAAGAGGCTCAGGCGTTTAGACCACAGCGCCACCCGCGTCCCTTTACCAGGAGTGAGATGTGGAGTCCTTAATTTATGCAGGCATGATTTTTGCGCAGGTGGTGCTGTGGTCTAAACCACAGAGCCTAGGACTTGCCGATCAGAAGGTCGGTGGTTCGAATCCCCGCCACGGGGTGAGCTCCCATTGCTCGGTCCCTGCTCCTGCCAACCTAGCATTTCGAAAGCACAAAGTGCAAGAAGATAAACAGGTACCACTCCGGTGGGAAGGTAAACGGCGTTTCCGTGCGCTGCTCTGGTTCGCCAGAAGCGGCTCTGTCATGCTGGCCACATGACCCGGAAGCTGTACACCGGCTCCCTTGGCCAATAAAGCGAGATGACCGCCGCAACTCCAGAGTCGGCCACGACTGGACCTAATGGTCAGGGGTCCCTTTACCGTATGTTTGCTTTGCTTTTCTTGTGGTTCAGTTTCAAACCAGTTCTTTGTATTCTACGCATTGTGGCCAATTGTGACGGCTTTTTAGCTTTCAGCTATAAAGATTTCAGTCATGCGTTCATTAGCCGGGACGCCTCACCTGGTTGTGGTCGCTAGGAGGGATGGAGAGAAGGGTGCTGCTATCTACTTCCCCCATGAGGAGTTCGGAGACCCTGTTTTGGGGGAGAAAAGGCACATTCATAAAGCAAAACGAGGGACGAAACAAGCACATTAATTTTGCACTTGCTCAAATCGCTGTGGTTCATTCGCCTTAATTCATTACCCAACAGACCAGGGTGGAATCTAGGTGCATGTAAAAAAGCCGCGAAAAATGCTTTTTCAAAAAATATATTGGATTTCCCCTTAGCTTGCCATTGCCATCTAGTGTCTCGTTTGTACAGGGCGCTGAAAATGCACATTATTTTTTCAGCTGTGTAGCTGAATCCCTTGTTCTGAAAATCATGTTGTTCCTCCTTATTCACAAACCCCAAATTGTCTCCAGGTAACGCCGCCTTGAGTTAATTTAACATCTCCCCCCCCAAAAAAAAATCAGGGACCAAAATCGCCTTCTGATTCCATGCCACAAAAGTCACTAAATACCCACGAAAATGTTTAGGGTGTCCATCATCTCTGGCCAAATCCTGGGTATCACTGGTTGTTTAAAAGCTGTTGTAACCTCAAGCAAAGGCCGCCCAGCCTCCTCTAACCCCAAATTTCACCCCCTGAGTGTGGGTTCAGCTGGATGTCCTCTAAAGGGCCCCTTCCGATTCTACGACCCGGAATAATGCGCCTTTAGGGAAAGCACAAAAAAGTCCTCTGCTTACGTGCCGCTGAAGGAAACGGCGATGGTCTCCAGGGCCTTTTCGAATTCTCGCTTGTCAGCTTCGATGTTGGATTCGTAATGGAAACCTACGGATTATATTTTTTTTAAAATGAATATCTTCATTGAAAGTATTGCAATGATAAAGGAATAAAGTGATACACAGGGGGGAGGGGGAAATGAGGGGGGACGACGAGAAAACAAAATATGCATATATAAAAAAGAAATTAAAAAATTGCAATGTAATATACTCCCATACATTCTGACGAAAATTGATCTAGTGATATTACCCTAAGGTAAAGGTAAAGGGACCCCTGACCATTAGGTCCAGTCGTGGCCGACTCTGGGGTTGCGGCGCTCATCTCGCTTTACTGGCCGAGGGAGCCGGCGTACAGCTTCCGGGTCATGTGGCCAGCAGGACTAAGCCGCTTCTGGCGAACCAGAGCAGCGCACGGAAATGCCGTTTACCTTCCCGCCAGAGTGGTACCTATTTATCTACTTGCACTTTGACGTGCTTTTGAACTGCTAGGTTGGCAGGAGCAGGGACCGAGCAACGGGAGCTCACCCCATCATTGCGGGGATTCGAACCGCCGACCTTCCGATCGGCAAGTCCTAGGCTCTGTGGTTTAACTGACAGCGCCACCCGCGTTCCCACAATATGCAGTGCTTTTTTTTCTTTTAAAAAATGTTTAGTGGTACTCTCATTTAGACTCAAGAAAACCACCATCTTATAGTTAAAAATTGGGAAAAATAAATACAGTAAATGGGAAAAAAATTGGAGGACGATGGAGGACTTGTGTGTGAGTCGACTGGCTTGGTGGAGATAATAATACAATGGTACCTCGGGTTACATACGCTTCAGGTTACATATGCTTCAGGTTACAGACTCCGCTAACCCAGAAATAGTGCTTCAGGTTAAGAACTTTGCTTCAGGATGAGAACACAAATCGTGCGGCGGCAGCCGGAGGCCCCATTAGCCAAAGTGGTGCTTCAGGTTAAGAACAGTTTCAGGTTAAGTACGGACCTCCGGAACGAATTAAGTCCTTAACCCGAGGTACCACTGTACAAAGATTCACAAAATGTTTAGGGGTATGTGTACCCCAGTGTCTCACCCCCAGAAAAAAAGCACTTTCCTAATGCATATATCACATTTGGATTAAATTTAGGGAGGTGGTTTTTTTTTAGAAAATAAAGGAGAGTTTTGGGGAAGTGAGGAATTTCAGCCGTGTGTCATTTTGCAAAGCGTGCGACTGACCCTTGACTTTGGAGATGAGGGTCCCCGCCGCGGTCAGCGTCTCCAGCGTGTTGAGCAGAGGGTATTTGGCGACCACCTGCCGCAGGATCCGCAAGGCGTCCCCCAGGCTCTCGTGGGCCAGCGCCCGGCGGGACTCCAGCCCGTCTGCAAAAGCGAGAGAAGACCCGTGGGTGCAATTCACTCTGCACCTGTTGAATTTCTGCCTGTCGTCCTGCTGATGCAGCAGTCCACTTTGCGGGACTCGGCAAGAAGGAGAAAACCAGAACGGACCCCTAAACGGCTTGCGGCCCGTCGGTGCAACCGTAGCACGCGCCGCGCCTGTTCGATTTCTGCCTGACGTCCCTCTGATGCGGCAGCAGGGACTCGCAAGAAGGACAAAAACCAGAACGGACCCCAAACAGCTCACCTGGCTACAGCGTGGAGCCGATAATGGCAAGGTTGCAGGTTCGATCCCCATCTAAGGCTGCTGCATTTTGGGGGTTGGACTAGATGACCGTTGGGCCCCTTCCCAACTCTATAGTTCCAATATTTGTTTCTGCCTCTCACCTGCCTCTTGGGCTCCTTGCCTCCCTCCCCACAAGTCCCAGAACCCACAATTTCGTTATCGGGGCAGGAGAGATGCGCAGTTTTCGAACGGGGGTCAGAAATCCAGCCGCTGCTTCAGGAGGCAGCGGCGGTGTAGTGGTTAGAGCTATGGAGATGAGGATCCCTGCTCCGCCGCGAAGCTCACTGGGTGGTTGTGGGGATGCGAGATCCCCTATTCCTCCAGAGAGCTATATTAACCAGAGCGGTTTAACAATCAATCTGTCTTGCCCCAAAAAAAGACACCCTCTGGGAATTGTAGTTCTCTTTGTTGGGGGAAAATAAGGCTTTCCTTTTCAACTTTCAGCACACCTTAAACTACATTCCCCAATATTCTTTTTACAGGGTGCCAAGATGGCAAACTACAGCTCCCATAACTCTTTGGGGCAGGGCATATGCCCCAAACTACAGCTCCCATAATTATTTGGGGGCAGAGCATGTCCCCATCCCATACTACAGTTCCCACAATTCTTTGGGGCAGAGCAAACTACAGCTCACATAATTCTTTGGGGCATAGCAAGCGCCCCAAACTACAGCTCCCACAATTCTTTGGGGCAGAGCAAACTACAGCTCCCACAATTCTTTGGAGCGGAGCATGCGCCCCAAACTACAGCTCCCACAATTCTTTGGGGCAGAGCATGCACCCCAAACTACAGCTCCCATAACTTTTGGGGCAGAACATGCGCCCCAAACTACAGCTCCCACAATTCTTTGGGGAGGAGCATGCACCCCAAACTACAGCTCCCACAATTCTTTGGGGAGGAGCATAGCCCTGTTCCTTCCCCCCCCAAACCCGGTAAGTTGGCAACCTCTCTCTGTCCAAGGTCTTCTCTGGAATGTTTCCCTTCCTGTTTACATCTAGGAAGGGAAGTTGGAAAGAAGGAAGTGACCGCCTCTTGCGACATTTGAGATAACCCGCTTGACCGCTTGACCGCTGACCCCCATCCCTGAACCATCACCCGCCCAGATAGTATCAGCGTTTCTGGGCATTCTCATCGCCAGGGAAGGAAGGAGCGAACGTCGGGTTTTCGCTCCTAATTTCTCCAGTTCTCAAACTCGGGTTCTGCACGTTTTGCTCCCGTTTGCAATAAAAACGAAATAAAAACTAAACTAAACTAAACTGAAAACTAAACTAAACTAAACTGAAAACTAAACTAAAAACTAAACTAAACTAAAAACTAAACTCTAAACTAAACTCTAAACTAAATTAAACACTAAACTAAAAACTAAACTAAACTAAAAACTAAACACTAAACTAAACTAAAAACTAAACTGCAAACTAAACTAAACACTAAACTAAACTAAAAACTAAACTAAACTAAAAACTAAACTAAACTAAGCACTAAACTAAACTAAAAACTAAACTGAAAACCAAACTAAACTAAACTAAAAACTAAACTAAAAATTAAACTAAACTAAAACTAAACTATACCCTTACGGCAACTCAGCAGAATATTAGAGCAATTTCCCGTCTTGTACGCAGCTTTGACTAACGTGCTTTTTTTCAGGTGGCGGCAATTTTCCCCAAAACGTTTTAATTACTTTTAGCATTTATATTTCCACCTTTTTCTTTCCCCTGCACGGTTCCCCCCCCCAACAAACCCTCCTGCAACGACCCTTCGAGGTAGGTTAGGCAGAGAGGCAATCGACTGCCCCCCAAGAGATCATTGCGGCTCGGTCGCGACTCGAACCCAGATCTCCCAGCTCCTAGCAAGCGTGCGACCCTCACAATAACCATGGGAGGTCGGTTCGGCCGAGAGAGGCGGCGGCTGCCCTGTCCCCAAGGCCACCCGGGGCGAATTTTGTGGCCGGGTCGGAATTCGAACCCGGGTCTCGCGGGCCCGATGGCGCACAACTGCATGGCTGGGTCAGGTTTCGAACCCAGGCCTCGCGCGACTGCAAGCCCATTGCTCAAGGGAGCCAGAGGACATTGCGGGGAGGGCGATGGGCACCCAGGCATGCCCACGGAGGGTTTATCAGGGCGCTGCCAGCTGCCGCGGGCTCGGCGTAAACAGGAAAGGCGGGCGGATGAAAATAGAGGCAGGAAGCGGCAAATATCGCATCCCTCTTGCCGCCGTCTGATGTGGCAACCGCCTCTCTCTCTGTCCCCAGAGGCCGTGCCCAGCTGGCGGTTGCAAAATCAGGCGCATGCGCCGCTCCTTTTCCCCAAAGGAAATGAAACATTCATTGGCAATATGGAAGTAATAATAATAATAATAATAATAATAATAATAATAATAATAATAATAAATGTCTTTAAATCATGCGTCAGATTTAAATCAGGCACGTCCAAAGTCCGTTTTGGGGGCCTAATCTGGCCCCCATCTCAGTTTATTTCTGGGTAAAAATCCTTTAAAAAAGCTCAACCGCTTTGGGGTAAAACCCTAAAAAAAAGGGGTTGAGAACGTCAATCCTAAATAAAGGTCAACAACTTTGGTCGGCCCTTGCGGCCCTTCACTTCACCCAATGTGGCCCTCTTCGAAAGAAGTTTGGACACCGCTGCCCTATAGCAGGCGTCCCGAACCTTCAGCCCTCCAGATGTTTCAGACTACAGTTCCCATCATCCCTGACCACTGGTCCTGTTAGCTAGGGGTGATGGGAGTTGTAGTTCTAAAACATCTGGAGCATGCATCCCCAAACTCGGCCCTCCAGATGTTTTGGGACTACAACTCCCATCATCCCTAGCTAACGGGACCAGTGGTCAGAGATCATCAGGGGGTTTGGGCTGGGTGTCCATCAATATGCGGATGATACCCAGCTCTATCTCTCTTTTAAATCAGAACCAGTGAAGGAGGTGAAGGTCCTGTGTGAGTGTCTGGAGGCGGCTGGAGGATGGATGGCGACTAACAGATTGAGGTTGAATCCTGACAAGACAGAAGGACTGTTTTGGGGGGACAGGGGGCGGGCGGGTGTGGGGGATTCCCTGGTCCTGAATGGGGTGACTGTGGACCAGGTGCGCAGCCTGGGGGTCATTTTGGACTCACAGCTGTCCATGGAGGCGCAGGTCAGTTCTGTGTCCAGGGCAGCTCCATCTGGTACGCAGGATGAGACCCTCCCTGCCCGCGGACTGTCTGGCCAGAGTGGTGCATGCTCTGGTTATCTCCCGCTTGGACTACTGCCATGCGCTCTCCGTGGGGCTGCCTTTGAAGGTGACCCGGAAACTACAACTAATCCAGAATGCGGCAGCCAGACTGGGGACTGGGAGCGGCCACCGAGACCGCATAACGCCAGTCCTGAAAGACCTACATTGGCTCCAGGATGTTTCCAAGCACAATTCAAAGTGTTGGTGCCGACCTTGAAAGCCCTAAACGGCCCAGTATCCCTGAAGGAACGTCTCCACCCCCATCATTCTGCCCGGACACCAGGTTCCATCTCCCGAGGGCCTTCTGGCGGTTCCCTCATTGCGAGAAGCAAAGCTACAGGGAACCAGGCAGAGGGCCTTCTGGGTGGTGGCCCCTGCCCTGTGTCACGCCCTCCTATCAGATGTTCAAAGAGAACAACAACTACCAGACTTTTAGAAGACATCTGAAGGCAGCCCTGTTTAGGGAAGCTTTTAATGTTTAATAAGGTTATTGTATTTTAGTGTTTTGTTGGAAGCCGCCAGAGTGGCTGGGGAACCCAGCCAGATGGGCGGGGTATGAATAACAAATTATTACTATTATATTTTATTGATGGTCTCACTACAACAGCGACACCTAGCGCAGAACAGACACAGTGTCACGCAAGAGACGTCTGGGGCAGAAAAGCCGCAATACAACACAGCCTTTGTATTTGGGGTGCTACTGCCACAGCGACACCTAGCGGCAGAACAGACGCATTGCAATACAGTGTCACGCTAGCGACCTCTAGGGGCAGAAAATGGGCAATACAACACAGCCTTAAAAATAAATAATAAATTATATTATATTATTATTATTATTAATGCAAAACAAACGGAAATTTGTGGTTGGGCGTAGAAAGGGCCCCAGGACCTTCATGAGCTGAGGGCCGCGTCGAAGCTCAATCCGGCCCCTGACCACTTACCCTCCCGGAGAACCACGTCCCGCAGTTTCTCCAGGGGCTCGGCCAAGCGGGTCACGTCGGCCAGCAGTTGCGAGATTTCCTCCGGCTCCATCAGGCTGCCCTCGCCGCCATCGCAGGGGCTGTAGGCCTTGGCGGCCTTGCCCAGGCCCCGGGGAATGGCGGGCGAAAGGGGGAATCCGGCAGCGCTGGCGTGGCGGCTGAGGCTGGTGGGGCGCTTGAGGGTGCCGGCTGGGGTGGGTGCGGAGAGGTCCGCCAGGCTGGAGGAGGTCGAGGAGTCCAGGCCATCGCGCCGTGGCAGCTCCTGGGAAGAAGGAAAAGGCAGTCGGGTCACTTGGGGCAGAATTAGAACTCAGAGCCTTTGGTACCACCAACTTCAGAACGCCTTGGAAGAACCAATAGGCACTCAGGGCGGGACTTGAACTCAGAACCTTTGGCTCCACCGACTTCAGAATGCCTTGGAAGAACCCATAGGCACTCAGGGCAAGACTAGAACTCAGAACCTTTGGTCCACCAGCTTCAGAACTCATTGGAAGAACCAATAGGCTCTTGGGTCACTCAGGGCAGGACTAGAACTCAGAGCCTTTGGCTCCACCGACTTCAGAACACATTAGAAGAAGCAAAAGGCACTCAGG